GCTACTAAATAATAACTTATAATAAATTTTATTTTATTTTTTTCGTTAACTGGTAAGTGTATAAACTCAGCAGCCATTGCTTGACGAGTTTTTACACAAACACACGTACATGAATGGAAAGATAGATTGGTAGAAAATTGGGCGTGACAAAACGCTGGGAGGCAGACACCTTAATGGTGCTGGTAAAGTAGGAATATTATTGCAGTTTTACACCTTCCACAATCAACAGTAGCCTAACAGTCATTATATCCATTTATTAGGCAACAACAACCAAAATAATGTTAGAGCAGAAAATGGATGCAACCAAACTAAATGATAATAGCCACCAATAAAAAATAAATCTGATAACGATAAAGATCTCAGGCGGTAAGTGTTTCTGTGTGTGAGTGTGGTCAGCTAACGATTTTAAGGCCTATGAACATCCTCCTTCTTCCCATTTTAAGGGAATCGTGAGTGCCGGCTCCAGTTCGTTCAGCGTTTATTTTTATCAGTGGGCCATACGTAGGCTTGTGCCGCGTTAAATATTAATGTTCATTTAAATGGCTCTTCTACAGTGAAGATTAAGCTGCATAGGGCTATTATTTCAGTTCTTATTTTATTTTTAATGCTTCATATAATTTATTTATTTTTACTACATCTAGAAATTCAGTTTTGTAGCTTGAGTGTAGATGGTTTCAAGTGGAAGCAATAGCGTCGTTGTGTTTTGCCCAGCATAAGTGATTCTAAAATATTAAATGCTTGTTAACTGATTCGGCGTATAATTAACTAAAGTGTACATTTGAATGAGGTTTCATTGGAAAATAGCGGTAGAATATTAAAAAAAAAAAAAAATAAACACAAGGCTTGCGATGCTCACACATTTCATTTACCTTGCTGAAGTGCAAATACCCCAATCGGAAGAGTTCGTTATTGAATTCCATGCGAGTGATGTGCAATTACTGCACATTAAATTTATGTGTTAATTTTGCGGATATTTCTAATTTGAAAAATATTATTATGATCTACCAGCTCTGCTCGTGTTACCCTGAGGGCAAACCAAAGCGCATCAAACGAGTTATACGTAAGACTGATCGACTATAAAGTGAAATAATTTGACTATATAATATAATAGTTATACTACTGACATTTTTACTTTGTTTTCATACATAGTTATAGCGAAATTTCATAGTTTGTAAAAATTAGCCTCCAAGAGTTCCGCACGGCTGATTAAAAACTGCGAACAAAGGTGTTTCGATCGTATCTTTGCTAAAGTTGGGCACTTTGAGAGAAAGTGCTGAGATGATTCCACAGCTACGCCTTCCAAGTAGAGCGGGTTCCGGCGCGCTATTTAGTCTCTCCAAGAGAAGGCCAATCGCATTTTTTTCCAGTCAAAAGACTCACCAGAATTGAAAGTTGCAAATTTATGAGCCGAAGCAGAGTCCAATCAGAGCCCATTAAGCACGTGCTAACCCCCATTTTCCAGATATAACTATGTTTCGCTTGGCTATAAGAGTGTAAGTTTATCTCTTTTGCCAACGAGGCGCAGTTTTGCAACCAATCGACTGCTTCCTTAATGCTAGCCACCTCTGTCAGAAAAACACTGTAGTTATCTGGTTATCTGAGTTATTCCTCCATTGATCCTTTCGTCAAAATTTAAAATATCCGTGTATAGATTCAGCGGCTCCGTCTTCTAACTCCTACCTAATGTCAACTCATCGTATACTGATTCCAGTCTGGCCACGCTGCGATACGTGCTATAGAGGGTAAAATCGAGGCCTTCAAGAATACGAGAATGTATGCTCAGATTCAGAGTATAGAATGTCCGAATCTTGAGTCAGTTACGAACCCCCCTAGCTCTGACAGCAGAGCTCTCTGTAGCAGCCTTACCGACGGAGGGAACTAGCGCTATGCTAAGCAAGATGTTGAGTGCTACAGTTGGAGTGTTTCTAACAGCCACACTGATTTCAGTGAGGAGTGTTCGTTGTACCCGGTTTAGTTTTTTGACTGTTGTAGCTTGAGAAGTAGTGCACTCCAACAGGCGAAAACTCCATACACTAATCCTAAGAGAGCGGTCTCATCTCTTGCCAATTGCGCCCTCTGTTGGAGCAGTGAGACATTGATGCCTCCTTTGCTTGCTTTTTAATGTGAGGATTCGCAATAGCTTCCCATCTAAAAGCATAACAACTTGACTCCAACAGAAAAGACCAGGCAAGCGCCCACTAACTGGGGGAAACATCCTATGGGGTATCTTAAGTATACTACTTAGTAAACAAGCAAGGTTTCATCGAACTAGGATTCACGTCACTTTTGCTGTTTGCAGACCACATAGTCACCGGGCTCATGTAACACCTTTTATCAGATCATAGAGCATATCCAGATATTTAATTTTCTCTAAACGTGAAGCGTGATCCGCATAAGCAATCACCTGGTAGCCTCTACGCTGCAGCTTCTGTAGCAGATTGTTTACGAATCCAATATAATGAAGATAAAAAGAACTTGATGCTGTGACCATTTTATGCCGATGACTTCAAAATCCTTACTTTTCCGTAAAAGCGGCGAATAAACTCAATTTATTGTACAACAAAATTCAAAAAATACACGGTGAAAATTTTTTGCAATTTTTTGTATTTTTTTTTAAATTTTATACAAAGTTTTAAAACTGTGTTTGTATGGGTTTTGTTAGAGAATGAATTAATAAAAACTAAAACGAAGATGCGTAAAGATATAGGCAAAAATTAAGATCAAGGTAAGTTGAAACACTTTACTTAGATATACATATAAGGGCAAGGGTGAAAGGAAATATGTAGATGAAGAAAATAATAAACATAAAGGTGAGATGAGGAGGTGGCTGCCGACAAATGTAAAGATTAGGATAGAAGAAGAAAGATGAAGGTAAAGGTAATTATAAATACAGGGACTCACCACACCTAAATTCACCGCACCTTAACTCGCCACACCTGAACTCACCACTCCCAAACTCACCACACCTGATCCTACCACACCTGAACTCATCACACCCATTCCCAGCCCACCTCACGTTAACTCACCACACCTCAGCTCATCTCACCTCAAGTTGGGAAACTTTTCCGGATTTTAGAGATTTTCAAGATGCTCGTAACTAAATCCGGATTCTCAAGACTATATCGGGATTCTCGGGACTATTTCGAGATTTTCGAGACTTTCACCGTTATATTTATCGATAGTGTTATCGACATAACAATCGATCGATATTGCAAGAATCGAACTTCTGCGGTGTGTCCCAGGCGCACTTACTTTTTCTAATCGAAAAGGCCCATAAAAGCCAAGGTAGTTTCGTTTGTAAATTCCTTACAAAGTTCAGCGAACTCTGCACCACACATTGTACATATGTATGTACATACTTAATGTACTTAATTGTTATTTTTTTCCACAATATTTAAAACGAATATTTATTTATCGTTTATAAACTTAAATAGCTATGCACTAGAATTTCTCCATAAAAATAATTATGAAAAGAAAGCACCAGACATTTAAGTACCGCGAAATTGGAATATTGTACGCTGGAGCATCCTTCACGTTCCATGGCAGCAGCTAGATAAACTTACAAATATTGGTCAAAGATGAAGTTTAAAAAATGCAAACATACGAGTACATAAATTGCTGATGGCGATGCTCGTGACAACGAACAAAGTGCTATTGATCGTAAGTACATACCTACCTACAATGGTATACTCGTGCCTTACTTATGTGCTTAATTGTTTCTATAAGCGCCAGTACTAAAACAAACTGTAAAGTGTGCAAAGTACTTTACATTTGTAAAAAAGTAGATTTATGCATATCTTAAGTTCTATTTTGAGAACGTTAAGCAAACACAACGGTAATTTTTACCGCAAAAGCCGGCGGCTAGAACTTTTGTTTTTAAATAAACTTGCGGTCAGTTCGCAATCGTGTGTAACATATTTACATTTACACTTCGCACATGTTTTGTTTTATGAATGGAATATCGTTCGTGATGAAGCAAGTACGGTACGGAAATAACCCTGCAGGAAAATCATTAGCTGATAAAGCAAATTTCTGTTGCAGACAAGTGACAAGTTTGAAATGTAAATAATGTCTCTAGTTTATGCTATATGTTTGAACTGCTCTATAGGTGATGGGGATTTCTCGTTTTAAAAAATGCACAAAGACATAGTGTATAAAACAAAAACGTAAAATTAAAAAAAAAAAACTGATTAATTAAAAAATGAAGCAAACAACATTTTAACATTTGCGTACTTCGCACTGCTCCAGAATTCGATCCCACGATCTCCGGGATGCCGAACTGCCGTCCCTAAATTGAAGCGCCAAGCTTTGCGTTTTCCATTGTCAATGAGTGTCAGAGCGCGCTGTCCCCAAAACAACGCGGCGTAATTTTTGGCAAATTTCGAAACCTAATTATTGAAAAAAATTGTCAAACGAAAACTTTTAGTATAGAGATTGAAATCAAAGACTGCAAATTTATAAATTGAAGGCTGAACTGAAAAATTATGATAGGGAAAAATTATAAAATCGTAGTCTTATAAGTAATTTAAAAGGAGATAAACGAAAAAGTGAAATTATTTCGAAAGCTGAATAACGGTAAATTGAAAATATCTCAAAAACTTATACATAGAATAAAAAATTAATTCGATTTTCGAAATCAGAGGGCGATTCTACATGGGGAATGGATAGCGAAATTCGTAGAACAAAAAACAAAAAAAAAAAACACAAATTTCTGATCCAGTGTAATTTTTCGCTTAAGGGCCGTGGCACACGATTTCTACATTTGTACAGATTTGTACATTTATTATATTGCCCTATTGGTGCAAATTAACAAAAAATTACGTTCACACAATTGGGATACGAATTTGCAACAAATTTTGGGCAAACGCGCAATCGTGTGACACTGCCTTAATACACTATATAATCGGAAATTGGGCTCGATATGTAAATATTATTTGCACGACCGGTGCGGTCTCCGTTTTCGAACGATATATAAACTAACAATAAATAAACTACTAAAATAAGAAGACAATAAAAAGTGCCCAAATTTTATTTCTTTTATCCTCTTTTTGCTTTTCATTCAAATTATAAAATATATATGTAGTTAAAATTTTAGGACTATTCAGTAATTCTAACCGCTTCTCCTAGAAAGAGTTTTGTGAAGTACATATGTGTGTATGTAAATACATGTAAAAAACATTAAATATTTATCATAATAACGCAAGTACATTAGACGGCATCACTCCCGATACAAAAAAAAAAAATCGGTACTCTTTTTCCACTAGAACTATAAAATCTATTATATTTTAAGACTTTCGCCAAAATATCTCACAAAACTATTAAGATTTACGTGAGCTGGACCAATGTGAACATACCTCGAAAAGTTGAGTGAGATTTACGTGAGATCCTAATATTTTTTCCGAAATATTTTTGTAGAAGTCTTAGAATATACTAGATTTTGTAATCGCGCCGGAAAACCCGCACCTTTCTTTGGTGATGCAGTCTAATGTGCATAAATAATGATCGTGAAATGTCAGTCAAAGTCTACTAAATAATTGTGACCCTAACAAGCTACTTCGCAGAAGAAGAATTTTAATTAAAATTAGTTTACAAAAATGCATAAAAATAATAATGCCAACATAAAGCGCCTTTCATGTCTTCAACACTTCTGTGTGAGCGTATTATAGACTGGCGGTTGGCTGTAGCTAGCGCTGGCCATATCACATTCCGCTTCTATGACTGCCTCGGCGTTTTCACCGCCGCGGGGCTGATAAGTGATCACATAATTCGGTGGCGATTGCGTGTAATTTCCGTCACGCGTGGGCACTTTCTGTCGCAAATGCTGCAAACCCTTGTAGGTGATAAGGCCACATACCAAAATTAAACCGATTAGCGCTCCATAAAACAAATTCATAACAAAAGAGTTCGTAACACATGGCACATGCATGCTAATGAAGAGCACTCTCATTTCCTTCACACATTTCTGCAGTTGGGCCGAGCTCACACATTCTCCATGCTGTTCCAAAAAGCCAACATTACAGCGGCAGGTGTCGGGCGCTATGCAACTGCTATGCTTGCCACACGTATCCGTGCAGTGCGCTACGCAAGTGTGGTCGATGAGCGAGTAGCCGGCGATGCAGTGGCACTGGTTTGGTGCAGCGCAATATGCATGGAGAGGACAATCATTCACACAAATTGGTTGACAACTCTGCTCCAAATCTCCGATTGCCCTATTCTCGAAACCTTCTATGCATTGGCACACTTCCGGTTGAGAACAATACGCATTAAGGCCGCATGCGCGTGGGCATTTGGGCCGGCATGCCTCATCGTGGCGCACGTAACCCGCCACACACGCACAATGCGCGGGCGCTACGCAGATGCCGTGCGGTCCACAACCTCCCGGACATACGGGCAGACAATCGATACTGTCGTTGCGCCGCGTGTAACCTGCGACACATTCACAAACCCCAGGTTGCAGGCAAGTGGTGGCATTGCCACAGCGTGCCACATCGCAGATGGGTTGACATTTTTCGCTAGTGTTGGTGATCGCTTCATAGCCGGCGTCGCAGGTGCACACATTGGGCGCGGTACAATGCGCGTGCGCCTCACATCCTTCGCTACAAATCGGCTGACAGCCATTGGTAGTCTGCTCGTAGCCCGGCATACAGTGGCAGGTGTTTGGTGCTGCACAAAAGCTGTTTTCGTTGCACTTCTCACTGCAGATGGGCACGCATTGGCCTGAGGCATCTTCTTCGTAGCCAACGTTGCAGCGACAATTGTTGCTGCCCACGACGCAAGTGGCATTCGCCGGACATCCTTTGACACAATCGGGCTGACATTTATTGTTCTCAGGATGATAACCTTTGTTGCAAATGCAACGTTTGGGTTTATAGTCACAAACGCCATAGGCGCAGTTCTCATCACAAATGGCTTGGCAAATTTCTTGCAATTTACCTCTGACCTCTAGGGTTTTACATAAAATCGTTTTACATTGACTAGGTTTGATGAAGACAGCGAGTAAAATGGCCAGGTTAAAAAGTTTAAGCGAATTCATCTCGGAATTAGCTATTTTACTTGACTCTCCGCAGATGGACTCGTAGCGCTTGAGTGTTGATAGAACTTAGTCAACTAAACGTAAATAAAAGAATTACTCAACAAAGGAACCTATGAGATAAAGCAAAACAGTGTTGCCAAGCGACAAAAACAAAAAAACAAAAAAAAAAAACGAAACACACGAAGTAATCAATATACTCACGAAACTGTGGGCCAAATATAGTAAAACTACGTTTTTAGCTTTTCTCAATGAAGTCAGTATATTTTTAAACGACAACAACATACTTGTAATAAAAGCAATAAGTATCAAAATTTTAAAGTCAAAATTTCAGCTGGCTGCGCCTGTATGGCCTCTTAAGTTTTATAATCAGGGAACGGATTTTTAGGACCTAAAAACCTATACAAAAGGCAAAATAAAATAGCGAAATATGTAGGAAAAGGCTCTAGAAATAGCAAAAAAGGCAAAATAAGGCACCAGAAAAAGGCAAAAACTGAAAAATAACACTGGTTTACAGGAAAAATCTTCAACAGACTACATATCCAATTCCTATATAGAATTGCTCGATGATTCCGAAAATGGAGTTTTCAGGTGTACATGGCGTATGATTAAAATTCTTTCCTACTCATTTTTCATACAAAAAATCATTGCGCATTTTCACATGACCACTTATTACTTTTTTATTTATCCATCGATATTCTTCATTACACGGTCAAAAATTTGGGTTTAGTGTTTAAACCGCGCTGGGACTACTGCCTTTTTTAATCTTTTATAGTCTACTTTTTAAACCAATCAATAGTTTTAAGCAATTTTGACAAAAAGTTTGTGGTTTAAAAATCAAATCAAAATGTTTTAATTCTAGAATTATGAAAATGTTTGGGTTTAAAGTTTAAACTATTCTATAGTTCATCGGGCACCAAATCATTTTCTAGGCGTAAACATCTATTAAATATGTGCTCTGCTTTTCCTCGGTTAGGCCGCAAGAGGTGGAGATCTGTAAAAACGAGTTTGCCTCATTTTGTGATACCACTCGAATTGAAACTAATCTGCGGCCCAGGCTGAAGGGACACGTGCGGGAACGAAAAAGAAGACAGGATTGCCACACAGATCTGGAGTACTTACCTCTCTGTAACATATAGTGAAGTTAATCGAAACTGCCAAGTGGTACGAGTTTGGGGTCTAGAAATGGCAAACATTTTCTTATTGCTTGTCAACAGGGTGACAAATCGCTGTAAGCAACCAACCAACAGGAAACTGGCGAAACTGCTTTGAAATTAAAAAAAAAATCCTGGAAAAATAACTAAAATCGATATACTTTCATTTAAATGTGTAAAGTATTTGTGACAGATGTACACGTAAACGTTAATACATATATAGGTCGAGTTCACTTGGAATTACTAAAATACAAAATCCTTAAATAAGTCACTTGGTATAATTCTGAAATAAAAATTAGTTTGCAACCCTGAACAGAAAAAGCGTTTATGTTTCCGATAATATTCACGTAAAGCATGTTGTTATATACATACATAGTTGTAAATGCATACTACATAAACATATGTAGTTGTACGTACATACATACATATAGCGATAATATAGGAGAAGTTTACTTTTAGTCCATATACGTCCATATTTATTTGTATAAGTAATAGATTACAGAAATCTGCAGGGATTTTTTTTTTTTCAGCTACATATGTATGTACACACATATTTAATTTTTCAAATCAAGTGAAATCGTATGCACATTAGGCTGCATCACGCTTCATACCATGAAAACTCGGATTTTCTTCACTAAGCCTGGTTTACGAACGCAGTCAAAAAACCGCGGCCATTAATTTCGTTTTCAATGAGATCTGCATAAATTTTTTTTTATCTTTAGGAGATATATTGAATAACAAGTTCAATATATAATGAAATTAAATAATTCAAATATACCTCTAATTCATTCAAATAATTTCATACAAATTTTTCTATAAAAAAAAAAACCAGTGTTCAACTAATTAGCACTGAAATTGAAAATAATACTGTTTGCAACTTATGTTTATTTATTTATTTTTAATAATTTTCATTGAAAATATAATTCAATCTACGAAGAAACCACATAAATAAAAGTTTCATAGGTAGCACAAATTTCAAAAATTCAACAAACTTTAAAAATGTTGATCAAAATTTCCAAATTTGTAATCAGAATATTTAGAAAATTTTCGGATTTTTAGTTTTGTAGCTCATACAATTTAAGTTAAATAAAGGGTAAGTTTCAAGTCGCTAAAAATTACCGTTGATTTTTTAGATTTTTTTTTCGTGTAAAATCTATTTTGTATGAAAAAAAAATCCGGAAACTGTGCGATATTAAATGATACCTGGAAACAGGTTTAGAGAACAAAAAAAAAGATTTTTCAAGTTCAAAGGCCAAAGAAACAAAATGAAACTAACAGTTTGGTTTTCCTGAAAACGACTGCAATTCTAACATATTACGTCCTGGTTTGGCGGGTTGGCCTAAAATTAGCTAAACGTTATTATTATATTAATCTCCCTGGATATTCATCAGAAAGAAGTGGCTACGAAATTGGTAGTAAAACTCAAAGAGTAAGTAAGACCTGTGGGGGACTAGACACTTCGGGCAAGTGTTGATCATTGATGAAATAGAGTTAGGAAGGACGACAGGCTGTATTGTAGCACATTTTGATTTTGAATTTAGCGTATAAGTGAAGAGGCTATCTCTTACTGTACTGTATAGTTACGGTGATTTCTGTGGACAAGAATCGGGATATTTCCAAAGCATCGAATCCGAACACACAATTTTGTTGTTAGATGAAAAAGGTATACTCTATCTTTTTATACAGTTTTATTTAGAGAGAATGAACTTGAAAAATGATCGCAAAAATTATGCATACAATATAACGGTGGCGAGAATGGGAAGAGACATTTAGGCAAGGTTTGGCTATTTTTGTTTGTTTAAGAAATGTTTGTAATTTTTTGTAGAACATTTATATAAATTCGGCGAATTTTAACAAATGAGCAACACCTTCAGTTTAGCCTGGTTGCAATAGGACGAAGACCTCGGACGACGAAGACCTGATGTATTCAAAATAGTAGAACTATTATAGGGCATTGGCCCCTCAAATATGCGGTAAGAATAGGGCTTCCCTGACCTCAGCTGACAACAGCTACAATATAACGAAGAAAGTATGAGGTATGACACACTGGGAAAACACAAAGCAACACAACTAGCGGACAAATTAGGAGCTTACATAAACGAAGTAGGTAAATTTAACAGAGAATCCAGATGGTTCTACCCAGCAGTATAGCATTAACATACTATGTATGTATATAACAAAAAGAAATTTTCTCAACATTGTTTAGCTTTGGAAAATCCACAACTTAAACTTAACTGTTCGAGAGGCATCCTAATGTTAATAAAACTAGCTCATTATTTTGAGATATGTGCATGTGCATGTGGTGATATCAGAAATTGGGGTTTCTCCTACAAAAAGAGGCAGGCTACCGAAGGGAAAGACTAACTGCTTCTTTTACTAACAACTGCGTGAGAAAATGGAAAGTGGACAATGATATTTGATTATCAGAAAGTATGCACATCCGTGTTGGAATTGGAATCTTGTTACTAGCCGCTAGCACCAACAGAAGTCCAAGCCTGAGATGTTAATACTATGCGTATATGAAGTACTTCTGCAAGACTATCTTAAAAAGTGTAAATATAAGGTAAAAGACTTGGTCTATCTTGAACTTAAACGACAGACTCTTTGGTGGAACAACAACCTCGCTCAAATCGCTTTTTAACAGAGCTAAAATTGCTGGCGAATAGGAGACGTACAAATATGATCTCTCTGCGTACAGTAAGGAGATTAGATGTACCAAAACGGACTCATGAACTCACTCCAGATTTCTCAGAGTCCTTACAAAAAATGCACATTAACATACCAGGGCTACTAGGAATACCTAATTGATGCTTCGGGAACAGCTGCAAGGGCATCTATTTACCTTTTAGTCCTGGGTGTTTTACCACTATGCGCAACCCGAACCATACACACGCAGGCTGGGATACAACGATTCTGCGCTAGGGATTGGAGAATTGCCCTCAGCGCCTCTTAATGCACCCGCAACCCTTTTTACCCTTTTTAATATCGCTTTTCAAGAAGGCTATGCGTTGGGATGCCTCCTACTGCTACAATGGCTCACAAGGAAAGTCGAGAAGCCCATGGTGAACAAAGAGATGACGGAATTTTTTTGCTGGCTTGAAGGAGAGGGTGCTTTCGATAACATCGTGACGGAACACTCCGCTCTCTAATAACTATGTATGTCTGGCGCACGACAAGGGTTTTTGTGAACCGAAAGGAGTTACTACAATAGTACTTTTAGTCTCATCGTGCTGTACATATGTATGTAAGTAGTACGGTGATATCGACCCTGTACGAATACATATATCGCTAGCTTAAAGTGCAAAGTTGCTGAGTCCTATTTTAAAAATTTACCAGGAAAGGACAAATAACTTCTTATAATAATTTTCTTCAAGTATTTCGGAAAACTTTGAATACAGCATTTTGCTTGTTTTAAGAAAAGCAAATTAGCAAATTTTCCTTTCATCGAAAATAAACCTGAATAAATAAAACTAGTACCATTATCCTTTTTGAAACAATGCATTTTGAATTTCTCTAGCCTCCTGTATCAAAATTTGAGTTTTCATAAAAAGTGAACTTAGCAACATTTCGCTCTGAGCTAGTGATATGTATTTAGCTACGGCTGTGTAAATTAATTAAATTAAATTATAAACTATTTAGGTATCCATGGCATTTCCATATTTAACAGTTTTATTAATATTAAATATTTCCGAATTCTTTTTATATAAACATATACAAACGTATGCAAATAAATCACATAATTAACAGACACAATTTTTTATGGAATTATAGTAACAAAGATCTTATTTAAAAGTGTATTACTCATTCATTCCAGAACGTACATCGATCCACACAGTTGCATTGCTCTGTGACATTGTCACTTCATCCTCCGGCAGCGCCTCACATTTACCATTGTCGAAGTTGAGTGAA